TCATTATTTCTGGCTATTAATTATAACACTACTTAGAAAAGGGAAAAGTCTAATATAATTATTTGTTCAATAGCAGCTCTTGAAGGTCCCAATCAGGATCGAGGCCCCATTGTGCTTGGCATTGTACAAATGCAGAATAACAGATCATTTTTGCCTCAAACAGCTTACAATCTAAATTGAATAAAAGGTAAAACAGGGTCCCAGTCCACAAACCAATGAATATAGTGGGTGGGTTTCTATTTACTACAATGGACTTTGGATCAGTCTTTGAGAGAATGCAACCAAAAAAAGGAGGGGAGGAGGACGAAGGAAAATAAATCAAATCAAATCATGAGGTTACTTAAGTAGCTTCTGCTCATCTTTAAGGCTTCCAAGGGCCCCAAGTGAAATCAGCCAGACCCACCTGACACAGAACCAAATCTTCACGGGGATTTGTGCACTTCATCTCTCTCTTCCATATTGATGCAGGAAAGACATCTAAGAGCCAGTGGCTGACCTGCATCCGTCACTATCCAGCTCCGTGGGCAGAACTAGCTACCCAGAACATCATCTTAACGGTGCCTGCTGACAGCATCCGTCCCACAGACGATCCAGAGCCTTTGCTGACTCTCTGGGAGCGGATTATGGCAGCTGTAGCTGAGCTGGCAGCTACACCAGCCACGTTCCCTCGGCCAGAAAGGATTGTAGCAGATGTTCAGATCTCAGCCGGTGAGTACGGTGTATTGTCATAAAAGGCAAAAGAGCGACGCCCTGGGGTAAAGGATTGACTTGGAGGCTGGGAGCCAGGAACTTTTTAATTGCAATGCTGGTTCTTCCGCTGACTCTCACTATGACACCTTGGAGAGTCACTAACCTCTGTTGAGCTTTTCACCAAGACACAAGACGTGGCGAATACAGTGGGACCCTCTAACAGTGTATCTCTATTTATAGTGAAGCTTCTCTCCCAAGCACACCCTTATTCTACTTGTCAGCTCCTGCCTCAGTTTACTCTAGGAGCAGGGAAAAAGGAATTGGTTATACCCAACTCACAGTACAGCAGCCTTCCTTACCAGTG